TGACTTCAAGGTGGAGCTATGGCCCTTCTACAAGTCTGAAATAGGTTGAGCTTTAGCCTCACTAACCATTTTTAGTAGTTGGGTAGCATCTCTACACTTCCAAAGATGGCACCCCGCAGCTATCTGCCCACCATTGTTTATTCACATGCATCTCTGACTATAGTATGGTGTCCAATGCAATACCATAAACATTGTCCCAAAAGAAACAAATCATTTCACCATCATTGGGGAACAGGTGAACATTTGAATGTTTCTTTGTACTCAGTATTTCTAATTTGGGAGAAAATAAACCCCTTCCAGATTCTGAACGTGTAGAAAGACTCCCCAATTTTCATTTGCATTTCTGTTTTCAAAGATGTGCAAGTGTGATTACATGCTCATTATGCTGACTGCCAACATTATTTTCTCTGAAAATTTCCCCTGGAACAGTTACAGTACATATACAGTACATATAACACAGGGTTGAACTGTTGGGTGCTTGATATTTTTTTTGCTTGATTCTGATTTTGAGAGGAAGGAAACCAAGATCAATGAATGTCAAGAGCCCAACTATAGGAACATTTTGGAAGCAGTTGAAATGAGGCTCACATGTTAGTTAGTTAAATGATTTAGGAAATGTTTGTCCTGCTGCCCATCAATATTAAGCCTGTGCCTCCTCAACGGCTGAAAATAGTTTCTCCTTCCTGAAATCCCTCGACTTTGGGGTGGGGGGTGGGTTGTTGACTCTCCTGCCAAATTCAAGCCAAAAATGTGAGGAAATTAGTACATAACTTCAAAACAGCATCTTGTACCTGAGAGATGGCAATCCTTCCAGTTCTGTTATAGCATGTTATCCTCTCATGTCTAGTAGACCTGCCTGGGAGAGCATGTATACAGATATACAGCCTGCATAGAGAGACCCAGATTATTTATCTACCTCCAACCCACAAGGGAACCAACTTTAACCTTTCCTAACCCCATCTCTCCAAGTATGTTTCCTTACCACTATACGCAGCCATAGTGGCCAGTAGGTGATAGGAAGAGTAATTCTACATGCATGGACAGATTGGTTTATGGAAATGCAACCAGGGGTGAAATCCAGCAGGTTCTGACAGGTTCTGGAGAACTGGTAGCGGAAATTTTGAGCAGTTTGGAGAACCGGTAGCGGAAATTTTGGGTAGTTCAGAGAACTGGCAAATACCACCTCAGGCTGGCCCCAGAGTGGAGTGGGAATGGAGATTTCACAATATCCTTCCCCCTGGAGTGGGGAGGGAATGAGGATTTTGCAGTATCCTTCCCCTGGGGTGGGGAGGGAATGGGGATTTTGCAGTATCCTTCCCCTGCCATGCCCATCAAGCCACACCCACCAAGCCACACCATGCACGCCACGCCAGGCCCCCAGAACCGGTAGTAAAAAAAAATTGGATTTCACCACTGAATGCAACCCAAATGGCATGCAACAATTAAGTTTAAATCAGGATTTGGTGGTTGTTACAAAGTCAAGATGGCAATTATGACTATGTGACTGAAGCCCCACCCCTTCTATACACGTCGGCAGTATACAGACCAAATGGTGGGGCTTCAGTGTTGTGATCACAATCATATCTTGGCTATTTTAACCTAGCTCCTCCCTCTGTAGATATCCAAGAAGTAACAAATGGAAACTAAACTAAGAGAGAACCAGCTTAGAACTAAGGAGAAATTTCCTGACAGTGAGAACTATTGGAATAGTGGAATAGCTTGTCTTCAGAAATTAACTGGAAGTTTTTAAGAAGAGATTGGACAGTCATTTGTCCAGAATAGTAGAGGGTCTCCTGACTCAGCAGAGGCTTGGACTAGAAGACCTCCAAGGTCCTTTCCAACTCTGTATTCTGTTAAAGCTATCTTCCTAATTATCAGGACTGAGAAACAAAATAGCACCTCACATTAACAGAATACAGATTTAGTTAGCTGGCGCTCATCCAGCTCTTCACTGTAGCCAAGGAACTGTCTGCACAGGCTTTCTTCAACCACATAGACTGCTGAGGTAAAATTGAGTGTCATCAGCATACTGCTGAAAGTAACCTTCAGATCTCTGGATGATCATTCCAAGAAGCTTTATGTAGGTCTTGAACAGCAGACACCTGAGGGATCCCGCAAATACAGGGATTGAACTATGGGATTAAAGTAAAATTCCCGACTGAAATTGTTAAGGATATTGTTGTTGTGTTACCAACCAGCAGAGTGTAGAACACAGAGAAACATTGCTGAGAGCAATGAATAAGAGATGTGTAAACTGGTTTATCAAAAGTTTACTTTATAGTGAAAAAACAATCTCATAGTCTTTTAAATCAATCCAGGTCTTTGCCAGTTAAATCAGTCCAGTGATACAAAAATCTTCTTACCACACAAACAGTAGTTGGTTAGAATAACAAACTCACTCTGGTTCACAAACCACGATGGTAGCAGATCCATCCAACCGATGATAGCACAATGGTAGCAACTCCACACACTATGGTAGCATATCATCAACTGAATACGTTACAGTACCTTTCTTAAATACGTTTACAACTAGTGATTATCTAATTACAGCATGACTCAGCATTACAATGAATCAGCAATAAACCTTTAAAGTAACACAACACATATTCATGTTAAAGTCCCAGAACACATATATTGCCTGGACAACTTGTTAGGGTCAAACCATATCCTAACAGAAATTTTCCATGGTATTCTTTACATACCATGTACACACTTACAATATATAGTATATACAGACATTGTGTGTGTGTGTGTGTGTGTGTGTGTGTATGACATATTTTATACAATCAGTTTCACGAATGAATATAATTTATAAAAAATATTATATATTAAAATACCCACAGGCCATACCTTTGATTCTGTGAGCACATCAAAGAAAATTGATCTAAAGGAGGCAATTTCATATCTTTGCATCACATCAAAGTGGTTTTTCTAGATTGTATGCTTCTGGGAGGCCCTGCATTTCTTTCGAAATTGTTACCTTTAACTTTTGAATTTTGAACTTTAGTATATCTTAGAGTTTTCCTGGTATACTGTGTAATATAAATTTTGATGAAAACCAGGCTATTGGTCTACAAAGCTATAGAATTTCAGGTTTCAATCTTCAGGAATTCCTTAAATATCAGAATATATGATATAGATCACCTAGATTTTTCATTTTATTGGGGCAGCATTTATCTAACCAGAAAAAAGCATTCACAAAGACATTCTCAGTATTTTTAGCTTCTTGAAAAACTGATTTCCCCCTACTTCTGAGCTGACAAATGCAGTTGAGGTTTGTGTGGTGTGTTTGGGCAAGCACTTCAAAAACAATGTGTTTGGCTATGTCAAAAGCAAATAAATAAATAAATGCAAAATTGTTATGCACTTCTGCCAAAGTAATTTGCCAGAATCCAACCCTTATCCATCTTTCAGAAAAATTATAATACTGTTTATTTGCTTTCGCTAGTTTTAGACTCCACTGATTATTCCTTTTTAACTTTAGTTCGGCTTATGTTTACTTGCTCTTTTTTTTTTTTTTTAGAAGGAAACACACTTTATTTCATTAAAAAATAATGCCCATTTGCTAAGTGGAATTAAGACTTCAATGCAAAATTCTATTCTGATACAAGCAGAGGTAGTATTCAGCAGGTTCTGAACAGTTTTGGAGAAGCGGTAGCGGAAATTTTGAGTAGTTCAGAGAACTGGTAAATACCACCTCTGACTAGCCCTGCCCCCATCTATTCTCTGCCTCCCGTGTCCCAGCTGATCGGGAGGAAATGGGGATTTTGCAGTAAGCTTCTCCTGGAGTGGGGAGGGAATGGAGATTTTACAGTATCCTTCCCCTGCCACGCCCACCAAGGCATGCCGTGCCCACCAAGCCATGCCTACAGAACTGGTAGTAAAAAAAATTTAATCCCACCACTGGATACAAGCCATGGTTATTTCTTTCTAGTTTTACATACATTGGGCATAGCTTGGATCACTGTAAATTGAAAGACTAAATACACAGAATAAAAAAATCAGCACTTTAAATAAATAAATCAGCACTTAGATTTACTGTCTTTTTCAAATAATCTAGAACTGTTTCTTCAACGATCTTTCTGCCTGAAATTCCTAGAAATCCTAAGAATCTTTGCCCAATCTCCTGACCAGAAATAAATAAGCCTTTCTTTCTGAATATATTGCATCCAGTTTCTCCAGCTGGTTTTTTTTTTTCTCTTCCCCAGTATTGGCAAACTTGAATTGCTCTCTGTCTTGTAATTACCTATGTAGTCAGTACTCTGAGACTTAATTAAGCAGCTTTAATAGAAAATAAGGAAATAGACTCCATCAGTATTTGGTTTTCTCATTGGGAGCCAAATTAACATTGCTTTTTGAACTCTGGCCTGGAAATAGCTCTGTGTTCAAATACTAGTATTTTCCTCTCCTGAGTATCCTGTAATTAATCACTCATATTTACACAATGATATATTACCAAAATGGCCCAAATCTCACAAGATTACCAAATCTGACAAGATTTTGGTGATGTCATCCTGAGTTCTCATGTGAGGAAACAACATTTCAAGAGTTCAGGCAATCTCGGGAGATGTGGGTCACTGTTAAATCTTATTATATTATTGCTTTGATTTTATAGGTTTCTTGATTTTGCTTTTCCAATCATTCCATGTAATTACCATATTGAAATCACTACCTAGCAATGTTACCAGTCTCAGTTGAAAGGCACAAAGAACAACCTAAGGCAGGGATGTCAAACTGGCAACCCACAGGCTGAATGTGTCACACACAGGCCACGTCCACCCAGCTCTGCAAATGAGAAAAACATCGTGAAACGTCAAATGACAGCAAAGTGACGCAGCGAGTTTAACACCCATGACTTAGGGGGATCAGATCACAAGTCTGACTTGCTTGATTTTTTTACTCAGTCTATTTTCAAAAAGCTTGTCTTAGTTGTTCTCAGCATTTGTCTTGCTCAGTTTCAAAGTCAGATTATTTTGTATTTTATTCACTTATTCTTACAGTGACGCTTATCAATGCATGATGCAGCACAGGCTTTTGGTTTTCAGCTGGCTTGCTACTGAACCTGACACCAATTTGGGTTGAGAGGGAGTGACAAATCCAAGGTCATCCAACTGCTTCTACCCAGGCTCACAAGTCAGATTCTTTAGCTGCATCTAGAGTAGCTGCTCAAGCTGAACCTGTGGAATGTCAGCCTCAGGAAACACACACCAAGACTCACGTGAAGCTTATCAAACAGAGGGACCACCTGGACAGCTGGAGCAATCAGAGGAGGAGGATGTAAGCCTCCACATTTGGTGAACAGAGAGCAGAGCAATTCCGTGAGGCTACTTGCCAAGCAAATCTCTTGATGAATGATACCTGGCTGAAGCCTGATTTAAGATGTAGTTTTGAGCCATGTTCTCTTTGTTGGAAACAACATCTGATCTATGGCTCTTCTATGTCATTCCCATGAATCCTGTTTGTGTAAAAAACCTTGGACCTCTGGACTGACTGACAACCCTAACTTGGCTCTTGGAACCCTGGATTGGATTTGGACTATTCTTCTGTGAACTGCTATTATTAGCACACTCTTCAAGCAAGCTTCTGTTTTGTTAACATTCTTTGCCCGCTATTATTTCTTTAGTCTTGAAATAAAATTGCTAATTTCCATAATACCTATGTCTGAGTTATATATGGTTGAAATCAGAAAAGGGACACTTGCTCCCCAACTCCCTAACAATGTTAGTTGAAGAGACTTCTTGATTACCTCTTTTCTTGGTGTTGCAATAGCTTATCACAGGGACATCTACATAAGAGGATGTAAAAAGGAAAGATGACAGTTTTGACCATATGATCAAAGACTTTGATTTATTTATTTATTGACAAATCCCCTACATATATTCCTGACTTTTCCTACAAAAATATAAAAACAAGAGGGTAATCCAAGACTTAAAGTTATTAATTTTCAAAACTTTTTGAAGTCCTCGTGCTCAGAATGTTTACTTGCAATTATTGAAAAGCAGTAGCATAATTTCTGACAATGTTGAAATGGGAGATACATGAAAACTGTACAGTAAGACTAATAAGGTGTATTGTTAGTCAGGGAGATGATCTTGATGGAAATTTGCAGGAATCATTACCTAGGAAAAAGGGACGGAAATATTTTTAAAGTCCAGGATAATAAGATAACATTTAGAAGTGATTCTAGTAAATGTGTCCCTAATTCACTGGAGTATAAGAAGTAGGAGGAAGTAGAATCACACTTGCTAGATTTTGTTATGATTACCACTCAGAATAAAAACTGTCTCCTGTGGAGTTGAATCCTGATCTAACCTACTAATGGGATGACATCAATCTTGCAAGTCTGATTGTGTTGGATCTCTTCTCCAACATCTGGCCTGTTCCTTATATAAAAGACACAAGAATTATTCTTCTCTGCTGAAATAGATACTAACTTAGTAAACAGGCTCAGACTTAACCCAGACAAGACCAAGTGGCTGTGGGTATTGCCTCTCAAGGACCATGTCGATTGTCCATCCTTAGCCCTGGGGGGGAGAAGTTGTCCCCCTCAGAACGGGTTTGCAATTTGGGCATCCTCCTTGACCCACAGCTGAGATTAGAGCAACACCTGGCAGCTATGGCTAAGGGGACCTTTGTACAGGTTCGCCTTGTACACTAATTGCGACCCTACCTGGATCGGGAGGCTCTTCTCACAGTCACTCATGCCCTTGTCACCTCACGGTTGGATTATTGCAACGCCCTCTACATGAGGCTATCCCTGAAAAGTGTTCGGAGACTACAGTTGGTCCAGAATGCAGCTGCTCAAACGGTTGTGGGTGCACCTAGGTACTCCCACATTACACCAATCCTCCGTGAGCTGCACTGGCTTCCTGTTGGTCTCCAGTCACAATTCAAGGTGTTGGTTATTACCTTTAAAGCCCTATATGGCTTAGGGCCAGGCTATCTTCGAGACCGTCTTCTACCGCATAGCTCCCAATGACCAGTAAGATCCCACAGAGTTGGCCTCCTCCGGGTCCCGTCAGCTAAACAATGTCACTGGCGGGTCCGCGGGGAAGGGCCTTCTCTGTGGCTGCCCCGGCTCTCTGGAATCAGCTACCTCCTGAGGCCAGGACTGCTCCCACACTGCTGGCCTTCCGGAAAATGGTGAAAACCTGGCTTTTCCGGCAGGCTTGTTGGGGCTGTTGATCTCACCACTGCAATCTTGTGAGATCCGGCCATGAGCGGTGTGTCTGAGTTTTTAACGTCTCTTATTGTATATTGTTCATACTGTCTTTGTTGTAAGCTGCCCAGAGTCCTCGGAGAGTTGGGCGGCATAGAAATACGAGTAATAAATAAATAAATAAACTTCTCAATCCTGTTCATATTTAAGATCAGAAGTATTGACTTCCTTAACAAAATGTCCTTCTCAAAACACAAACTGAGCTTATTTTAATCATCATTGCCTGATTATTTAGTATATTTAATAGAGATTGCTCAATGCTGTTATTTTTTCTTTCTCAAACATTCATTTCTTAAAGAATGTAAAGTCTTTCCATCTTGTACCTCTGTAGAGTAATGGTCCCCAAACTCTTCAGCACATTGATCCCTTCATTAAGTTTTAAATTGTTCATTGACTCCCAAATGTTTATGATACAAAAATAATAAACTTTAATAGTACTGCTACTAATAATAATAACAACAATAACAACAGTAGTCTCATTGACTATTGGGGGTCCATACTGACTACTTTGGGGGACCCAGCAGAATATGCACATATGATGTTTATCTTTGTTTAATGAACATATTTTAATTAATCTTAGTTTTTACAGGGAAAAGTCAGTAACTATTGTGAGCATAAAAATGGTCTTGTATCTTCCAGACCAAGATAAGGATGTCAGGGGGGAAAAAGAGCAATTTTAATTCAAGATCCAAAATTTCCAAGCCACAGTTCTACTGATTGGAGAATTCCAGGAGTTGGTTCATACATCTGAAAGACACTCAAGTGTCATTTAAAAAGCTGATCATTTCTCCCCAAACTGTCTTGATGGATGTACTGGAATATGTGAATAGGGGCAGGGGTGAAATCCAGCAGGTTCTGACAGGTTCTGGAGAACCGGTAGCGGAAATTTTGAGCAGTTCGGAGAACCGGTAGCGGAAATTTTGAGTAGTTCGGAGAACCGGCAAATACCACTTCTGGCTGGCCCCAGAGTGGGGTGGGAATGGAGATTTTGCAATATCCTTCCCCCAGGAGTGGGGAGGGAATGGGGATTTTGCATATCCTTCCCCTGGAATTGGGTGGGAATGGGGATTTTGCAGTATCCTTCCCCTGGAATTGGGTGGGAATGGAGATTTTGCAGTATCCTTCCCTTGCCATGCCCACCAAACCAAGCCACGCCCACCAAGCCACACCCACAGAACCGGTAGTAAAAAAATTTGGATTTCACCACTGCCATGGGGGATAAGGGAAGGAGATGCTACCTAGGGAATGATCACACAAGAGAGGAAGGACTCCCATTGGCTTAAGTGTCAGAGAAAGAAAATTAGGAAGCATCCACCCTAATTTACCAGGCTATTAAAAGTCATGATGGAAGAGCTGTACTTTCAGACTTGCAAGGTTTGGTTAATGTAGTCTTACAGTAAAGTAAAATTAGCTCAGTTGATAATGTTTCCTATCTGATTTACCTGGGAGGGCTGATAATAGATGAATTTCACTTCCATCCAAACTTGAACGTTAAAAATCTCACATTCTTTTTGGCCTATTTATATATAAATGTCCCAAGTTTGGAATTAATTTTTACAAAAAAACCAAATATAATATTGATCCATCCCGATACTTTAGTATCTGAAATTGACATTATCCAAAGCATATCAAACAATCACATTGTACATGTGAGCAAGAGAAAACTTGAAAAAAAAATCACCAATTCGTAAATGTAAATTCTATGCTCAGTCATAGCAAATTAATTTAATTAATTTTGAGTATGAAGTAAAATTTTAAATAAAAGCAGTAGTTAAAAAACTTTCCAAAAGGCAAAAGTGGAAGAGGACATTGTCTTTAAAAATTGAGGGTACTTCTAGTAGATACTTTATATTGAAAAGAGGCAGGAGGTTTGCTAAATGTTTCTTCTGCTGGACCAACACCTTTAAAATACGAAATGGATAGTTTTTTAATCATCAACTTTGTAAATTATGTTTTAAGTTCTAGTATCACAAACTCTATTTGGTTGATTTTGTAAGCATATAATTTACTGCATTCTTCACCAGGGGGCACTCTAACATATGGGCCCTTAACTTGGCCCTCACCCACATATTATTCAGTTTGCTGGTAAGTTTTTTTCCCATCCTCTACAAAATTAGGGTACCCACTCCTAAAAAAAGTTGAATATTTATAAGTTCCATGCATGTATCAATTAAAAAAATACCACACTCTGGTATGACTTAAAATCTCAGGCCCGCACAAATTGGAAAACACATTTTAAAAATGAAATGTATTGAATTTTATTTTCCCATAATTTCTAAATAGGGGGAACCTAATGACATTCCTTTAACAAAAATAAGCGGACTGCGTATCAGAGATGTTAACGGGTTAGGCAAACAAATATTGGGTAAAACCAGAAGTAATAATGGTCGCTTATGTTCTTTCTACAATTTCTTTCTTTTACTCCTCTATATATTTCATTCCTTTCTGTTTCCTCTTGAAAGTAAACATATTAATCCTTAACCAAAGACGTACTATTTCGGCTACGCTATTACAGACACGAGGTCATAATGACCTCAATAGCAAAAAGACATTCGATGTTTTCATGGTTAGATTTAAAAATAGATGTATAGAGCAGTAAACCAAAAAATGTATTGATCTCTATAAAATCCACATCACACAGGTCATTTTTTCTTTCTCCATCTTTGAACTTCAATCTTTCTTCTCTAATTTTTACATTGGTCCACTGAATGATGGTGCTAATAATTTCTTTAGAAAATTATACTTTCCAAATCTCTAGGGGAGCAGGCGAATTTCCGAGATTTCTAAACTGCTGGTCGTAGTCCAGGTAATTGCACAACAATATTGTGACTAGCGGTTCTGGATCTAT